CTGCTATCATGCCCCCAGCCCTGCCTTTCAGTTCTGGCTAGACTGGAGCATGTACACTGGTATGGATAAGAGCTCAGGGCACACGGAATCCAGGTCAGATAAACCCCTCAGGAACAAAAATGAGAGTAGTGAAACTAGGAGGGTAGGGGAAAGGTAGAGGGATGAGGGGAGGGAGGGGGAACTGATCACAATGATCAACACATAACCCACCCACCCCCCACCCCAGGGGGATGAACAACAGAAATATGGGTGAAGGGAGACAGTGGTCGGTGTAAGATATGAAAATAATAGTCATTTATAATTTATGAAAGGGTTATGAAGGTGGGAGGTGGGGGAAGGGAGGGGAAAAAGAGGAGCTGATACCAAGGGCTCAAATAGAAAGTAAATGTTTAGAAAATGATGATGACAACATAGGTACAAATATGCTTGATATAATTGAAGTATGAAATGTTTTAATAGCTGTAAGAGCCCCCAATAAAATGATTTTTTTTTTTAAGTGAAAGTTAGAAAATCATCCCTAGAGAGTTGAAGGTTGAGATAATTAAAGGTCCAGGAAGTAAGTTGAATGTTGTGACTTGCCATTAAAGATCCCAGTGACTCAACTGGAATACGGACAAGGAAGCAGGCATGAGCATGTCAGGCAGGACATGCTCTCCTCTTACCAGCCTCAAAGGGGCACTTTCTCTCTCACACTGGTTACAAGAATCGATTAAGAGAAAAGGCAGGAGTGTTTAGCACATTCTATTTCCAGCTGGGTCACTTGACCTATCTACTGTCTCAATTCTTCCTATTACGGGAAATGGGCCAACACCCTCAAAGAGCCTATTTGGAGCAAAGACTTTGAAGAAGGCAGGAAAGATACGTTTTCCTAAAGCCATAGTAAATATTTCTTTTTCTTTCTTTCTTTCTCTGAACCAGGAAATATCCATATGTTTTCAAATGTATCCGAAGATGCCCACTATTACCGCCGGCGTCACAGACGTGAGAGGATGCAGACAAGGAAAGAAGAGGAAGAAGATAAACCTCAGGTACCAGAGAGTGACTGTCCACGAACAAATGTACTGAGCTGACCTTTATGCTGCCCGATCGGGTTTTAGAAGGTAAACTTGAACTATGTGGCAAAGAAACACATGTTAGGAAACTAGAGACAATGGGAAACACAACTCAGATGGGCCGGAATAGTATGTCTCTGTCTTTCCCACCACCTCCTTCTGTGGTGGCTCTTCCAGGATCTCGGTTCCCCTGTGGAACTGTCTTGACCTTGACTGCACGAAATAGGCCTCTTCAAAATAGTCCAAACTAAAGTTAGGGATCAAGGGGGTCTCATGATGCTCAAGGCTATGGGAAGTGTCAGGCACCCATGCTCTCCATAGGGCCAGATTGTGTCTCCCGCCTTCCAGCATCTCTGTGCATCTTCTGTGTTCTCTCTAAGCAATAGAATAATAGATTAAGTGACTTAATCTATTGCTCTTTGCAACTGGCCAATCCACGTGCCTTCGAGGTTATGCTGCTTTCCACAGGTGATTGCCTGGCAGGAACAGGCCGATGAATCTCAATCCCAAATTCCTAATAGGGGGAATGTGTTCCCCGAGTCCAGTCAGTGTGGCCAAGGCACTGGAGTTGTCTAATATTAACGTGGCTCCCAGAAACCCACCTGAGGGTCACAGTCCAGGCAGACTTCCCCGGGGTAAGCTACCTGCTTCGCTGGAACTTCCAAAGGGGATCTGGAGGATGATGACGAGCTCAAGCCAGGTGGCAGGTGGGTCTCCTTCGGCCTTCTCATTCGGTACAACAGAGCTGTTTGATACAGCTCACCAAAAGTGCAGTCTTTCCAGAGGCACACTGGACTGTGTAGTGGTTATGCATTGGGCTGCGGTCCGCAAGGTCAGCAGGTCGAAACCACCACCGCTCTGAGGGAGAAAGAAGGTTACAGTCTTGGAAACCTACAGGGGCCACCATGAGTGGGCATCAACTCTGTGACAGTCCGTGAGTGAGTGAGTGGGTGAGCCTGAGCGGGCATTGCTCGTTCCTGCTCTTTTTGGAAGACTATCCAGTCTTCCATTGTGCTCTATATTGAAGAATGACAGTTATACTGAGCACTTTCCTTTTTTCCAGACGACGTATTCTGCGTTTATCCAGTTACTTCCTGTCCTTGTGATTGTGATTATATCTGTTATCACTCAGCTGCTGGCTGCTAATCCGCCATACAGTCTATTTTACAAATCGTAAGTCAAATATTTATAAATCTTTCTTAATGACAGACTGGAGGGTGAACGACTTGAAGGATGAGCTGAGCATTTACCCACATTTCCTTTCACCTCTCACGGTAGAAAACACTGATTGTAGGCTTCAAGGAGCAGCTGGGCAATAATAGTGCAGTCAGGAGATGGCGTGTTTTGTACTACAGCGACATCAACTGGTCAGCTTCAGAACAGCACGAGCTGGTTTCTAAAGGGCCCATGGAAAATCTGAGCTTCCAGTGAAATGCAGCCACACCATTCTGGAATGGCGTTGAAAAAGGCCCTATTGAGTTTGTGACAGGATCGCTAGACCCCTGTGGGTTTGGGAGCATAGTAAATGATTATTTTCATCGTTCGGAATTGTAAGAAATAGGACATGTATTCAAGATCAGGCTACATATCAAACTGTAGTATTTCTTTTGCTGAAAATAATAGAAATTCATTGTAAGGCTGGTTATTTCATGCAATTATAAGCTCTGGTGGAAAAGTTGTTTTGGGTTTGGGTTTGGTTTTTTTGGTGGGATGGGGGTCTTCCAGAGAAAACCGGAAAACCTGCTAGACAAACTAAAAGAGCTGTAACCTTTTCTGATGGGAAAGTTTATATATCTTCAATGAATCATTTCAGTAGATTCAGTTCTCAAAGTTTGGTCCCTGCATCATCCACATCAACAGGCAACTTGTTAAAAATACGAACTCTTGGACCCCCAGTTCCCATCTAATTGGATCAGAGATTCGGGGGGAGGAGATAAGAAATCTGAGTTTCAGCAAGCCCTCCCCTTCAGATAAGTCCAGGGCACACTCAATTTGAAGATCACAGGACTTCTTCTTTTTTTTCATGATTCATAATGAATAGTAAGTTGCTACTCATAACTGTAGTTGCGTGGACAAAGCCTTTCAACGTGTGCACTCCACAGTGTGAAACATAGCAGGTTGTGATCACTGTAGGAGGAAGATGGTCACTCTAGGTCAGTCGTGCCACCAGGTCCCCCGGGCTTGATTCCCTCAATTTCCTGCCTTCCCCTGTTTCTCCATATGGGACAGCTACCTCCTTGTTTGTCAGGCCAGCGGGGCAGGCAGCACCTGCTCTGCTCACGCGTGAGGCGGGAGAAGCCACGGCCTGAGCTCTTAGACATTTGGCAGGATTCCTAAGCAGAGAGGCCAGAAAAGACACCATTGGTATCCAAGGTAGGGTTTGTCCAGTTTGAACAAAATCTGTCTGGGTTTTGCAAACCTGTCACAGCATTTTAGCCTGACTTTGAGATCCCTTCTATATCTCCATTTGGTTAGAGTTTCCTTCACCCAGACCTCTTAATGACGGCAAGCTCCAGATACCCTCACAGAGAGAATACATCAGCATTCATCTCTTGTGGCCACATTTTTTGTAGTTCTCCTCCCTTAGCAACTATGAAGGAAAAAAATGCTTTTGAGCATGCCTTTAAAATTGTGCTAGTTGGTGCCAGCCATCTGGTTATTTGTAAGTAGTTCACTGTCATGTTAATCATAGAATTAACCAATCGCCTGTGCCAGGTACCATGGTAAGTTCTGCACAGAATACACAAATTGTTTTTAAACATTCGATGTCTTTAACCACACAGAGTATATAAGAGATGAGTACTTACTTATGAATAAGCTATATATGGCCAGGCTGGAGTCACAGTATGGACATATACTCCCTTATGTAGCAATAATGATTGCATTGTTCTTACCATTTTACTCAGAAATTGTTTCTGTTGGCTATGTTAGCAGACAGGCGTGGCATCTGCCCCATGAAGAGAGGTGACTGTGGGTGTGTGAGGTCGTGCTGATATAACACCCTCTGTCCTTGTCTCAGGACCTTGGGCTACACCATTTCTAAGGAAACCCAGAACCTGCAGGTGCCTTACTTTGTGGATAAAAACTTTGACAAGGCCTACCGAGGAGCAGCCCTGAGGGACCTGGAGAAGACGATAGAGAAGGATTACATCGATTACATCCAGACAAGCTGTTGGAAGGAGAAACAACAAAGTAAGGGGCTCTAGCAAGATCTCAGCAAGCCTCCCCGATTCCTAGCCTGAGGCACGCCCAGTGATCCCTCCACTCTCCCGGTTTGTCGCACGTATTTGTGTGAACAGAGACAGAGAGCAAAGCTTCCTTGAGGATTCTACTCAAACTGGGAAGTGTATTGAGAGGATGCATGTGGCCAGGACTTGGCAATATTAGGAACTGAGGCGGTGCTGGGAGCCTCCAAGGAGCCCTGGTGGCGTGGGGAGTTAGGAGCAGGGCTGCCAACTGCTAGCTCGGTTATTCAAACTCCCCAGCCACTCTGGGGAGACGAGGCTTTGTGTTCCCATAAAGAATGACAGTCTCGGAAACCCACAGGGTCACTTCTTCCCCGTCCCGTAGGCCACGGTGAGTCTGAGTGAGGAGTCGACCTGTCTGTCTCTTCCCTCTCTGGGTCTGTGCCTCTCTCCGCTCCTGTGCCCTCCTCTCGTCCCTCTGCCACAGTCTGCCCTTACTTTAGCAGGCTTTCTTCCTTCAGAACCTTGTTTGCCCAGAGTTTGGGGGCTGCTGGGAGCCCTGGGAGTGCTGTTGGGCAAGTGTTGGACTGCCAACCACACGGTCAGCCGTTCAAACCGACTGGCTGGTCAGTGAAGAGAAAGGAGGTTATCTGCCCCCATAAAGGTTTACAGCCTTGGAAGTCTGTCTGCGGCCCCCAGGAGATGAGTTGGAATCCACTAGATGGCTGTGAGGATTGGGGTTGCTCTCCTCTTAGTCACGGACTGGTTTCCTACAGGACCAGCTCCTTGTTTCAGGGAAGCTGCCTTTTCATTAAACAAAGGACCTGGGAGGTCAGGCAGCTGCCTGTCCCCATGGGTACACCAGGCTTTGCAGGTTCTAAAACTTAGAAACGTGTCTTGGAGCAAGAGAAAGGCCTTAGGTTACAAGGTAGTGAAGAACCTGAAAAATGTTGCATTGGCAAATGTTACATTATATATATTTCTATGACTAAAAGTAATGTAAGGCTCAGTTTCAGCTCAGACTAACACCATAGGCTTCAGTGCTTCCTATAAGAAGAGGAAGATCACACACACACACACTCCACACCTCACATCTTCCTTTGTGGCAATAAGATGCTGGAAGTGTGCACAGGGCGCACAGTAAGAGCTGCCGCTCAGGTGGATTCTGGCCTATGTCCCCGTCCCCAAGAAGCCTGGTGTCGAGGCTTTGGCCCTCTCTGAGTGTGAGTAAAACTCCTGTGAGTCGGGCTGAGGCGCAGACTCCCAACGTCCAAACGGCTGCTCGCAGCCACAGCCCTCGGAAGCTTGTGCATCTCTGGCACGGCAACATGGTGGCCGTCTGGAGCCCCGGCACAGCCCCAGTGCCATTTGAGAGGGAGCAGCATCTGTCCTCCGGATCCGGCAGCCAACACAGCCAACGTCGTTAAATTTAGCCCTGGAGGTTGTAAAAATAAACCCACTGGAGAACAAAGTTCACTCTTGGCACAGTACCGAATGGAAACTGCTTTTAGCGAAGTTAGACATTGTCTTTTTTTCATCTTTTGTTAATTTTCCCCCTCGGATTTTCCTTCAACTGCCTTAGTCTGGGTGGATTTTGATGAGCACCACAGTGAGCACTGACAGCCCTGTGTGCGCCTCCACAGCTGCATCTGGTCATAGCCCTGATGCCAGGGCCAGTGCTGCCAGGCCACGGAGCTAGCATGGACAAAGCAATGGCAGGATCCACCTCCTGGGCACTGCACCCCCTCCCCCAGCCCAGCTCAGCCCTGCAGGCGAGCACTTCTGCCCTGGCCCGTAAGCAGGCTAGTAGAGTGTGCAGAAGCTTAGGCTTTTGAAAGGGGATAAAATGAATCAGCTCGAGTGTTTATGTAAGTTGTGCAAAACAGGATGGATTTCACTCTCAGCACAGTGTCTGGTTCCTGGGGAGTCCGGGCCTCATTCTGCTTTTCACTCTGTGCACTACCAGCCCTGCTTCAAAAGCTGGGTCAGCAAGACAGTGGGGGTCTGATGGAATGTTCTGGGGCCTTGTGCGGGCTCTGGAAGAGGCTCGGGGTCTTGCTTCTCTGGGAAATTTGCCTGAGTCACTTTACCTTTAAGGCTCAGTGCTTTGCCCATCTGTTAGAGGGATGGAGGCAGGGAGCAGGGGCTACATTATGCGAGTGTTTTGAAAAGAAAAGGTAGAATCAGTAAGCCTGGAGTGAGAGAGCGTTCAAGCTAAGAAGCATTTTTACAAGCTTAGTAAACAAAAAACTTAAGGAGATCATTTTGGGTTTTGTTTTTTTTTAAGGAAAGCTATCTATGTTCCATATATTAATATAACCTGGAGCCCCGAGGGCCAGAAACCTGGAGCGGTTTGATGGGACTTCCTGACAAGGTTTCCCACATGGCAGAAGAGCCAGAGGAATAGTGTAAGGGCCGAGCTCTGGGCAGGATGCAGGGTCTGAGGGCACTCATTTGGGTGCAGGACATGTTCCCGTTGAAGTCCCATCACCTGCAAGGGTGACTGTGCCCAGGCAAGCTCTGGCTAGCGGGCACTGCAGGCGTTCGTGCCAAGGGGTGAGAGCACATTGTTCTGGAGCCTGGGAGACCTACAGCTTTGCCAAGCAACTGCTGGGCGCGAGCCCAGGCTCTGCGGCCCCCATGCCAGAGGGAGCGTTTTCATGCATCTCCACCCCGCACCCTGGAGTCCCCCTGGAGTCCCGGACTTAATCGGCACGTTGCGCCTTCCTTGGTGTAAATAGAATCTTTGTGAGCAGAAATGCCAGACAGTGTTGATAGAAACTCATTCAGAAATCACTGCCCATTGTGTTTCCTCAGGCTGAGTATTAATTCCTGTTTCCAGGCAGTTTGCTGATTAATCAGACAGGTGCCTGTCGTTCCACCAAGAAAAACAGAATCTGTCAGCAAGATGATTAAGAAGGGATAGGCATATTTCAAAATGATTAAAATAGCATTTTCACAAGGATGGCCCTTTAAACACTGAATAGCTGCCTTCTGTCGGAAGTTTTCAGAGGCCCCCACCCCACCCTTCCCAAGTATGCCACCCGGTTTACACAACACATCGCTGGAGGGGCTTGTCAGACTTTCCTTCCTGAGAGGGCCCATCTCACAACAGAATCCGAAAGAGAGGCGGCCGGGTCACTGTTGGCTGGAAGAAGAGTGAAAAGATTCTATTCTGGTTAAAAATAGAATGACCTTCCCCACCGTGGAGGAGTCAAGGAGACAAAGGTCACCCGGTCCAGATGATCTCCTTTTGTAAAAAGCCCAGCTGCTTTTTGGCCTTTAAGTGGTGGACCCCTCACGGGGTGAGGGGAGAAGAGAGCTGCCAGCAACCTGGCCTGGGGAAGGCATGCCCCCCAGAGGTAGGCCCTGTCTGCGGGAGTACGTGTGAGCTACGAGCCAGCAGCACAGGGGGAATGAGGCAGCTGTCCTTGTTCAAGTGACAGGCATTGGCAGTTGGGCCCCACTCCCTCCCAACTGTCATGTGTATGCCCTCGGTAGGAAGGCTGTGAAGCAGGCTCCTCTTACCACACACGTGCAGGCTTCCTAAGTCTGGTGCCAAATGTTTTATTGATAAGAACTAAGTCTGGTGCTTTTTATAATAGAGCACAGCTACTGTTGGACTCCAGGATCACAGGTGGCCTTTAATCCTTAGCACCTGGTGTCCTGTATGTAGCTGCCTCATGCATGTTTCTCGACTAAACAGTAAGCCGTTCTCAAGCGCAATGCAACGAGAAAGCATTAAGTCAGGTGAGACGTTTTAACTCCATGCATATGGACTGAAACGGAAGCGTTCAACTCTCTGACTGACTCGATGACCTCTTGTATCTTTCAGAGTCCGAGTTGACCAATCTGGCCGGCTTGTACAGAGATGAACGACTGAAACAGAAAGCAGAGTCCCTGAAACTTGAACACTGTGAAAAACTCTCCAAACTCATCGGCCTGCGCCGAGGTGGCTGAGCGCGCGGCTGGCCGACACAGGGTCAGGGGTTTGCTACTTAAAGCTATCTATGTTCCTAATTCCATTTTATAATACAAAACTAGGAAATAATGAACACTGTACTATTTGCTAGGCCGAGTTGAAGGAGCTCTGAGCCCAGCTTATCATAGACTCTTTCCTGGGGACTGGCTTCAAGGGCAAAGGGTAGTTCATCTAACTTGAGTCAATGGCAAAGAATTTGATCAACTCCATGCTTTTGGCCTTCCTCCCCTACCTCTATGAATGTAACCCAGGCATCTCAAAACATGCTCTGCTTTTTCCCTTCTTCAGGTAAGCCTCGATACCCAGGCATCCCCAGGCTTAGCTAACGCATCCTATGATTCGTTATTTACCATGGGAACCAAGACAGACACCTTTCTCTTCATTAGAATCACCATCTCCCTCAAGATTTGTCCTTTGGAACATGCTACGGGGAATGTGGAGAAAGTTAAACTCACTGCAGCCAAGAGCATTGTCTTTCCCCAATCTCTCTTCAGAGTTGCCAGCTGCTTGATCTGAGGCTCTTATTTCCTCAGCCCTCCCTCTTGGAGAGATGGCAGAAATGGAAATGCACTGGGCTGGGAAACAGCCCCTCCACTGCCAGGCAGCAGGAAGCAAGGACCACGGGGGGTGGGTGGGTAGGGGTCTCTCAGCTTGTCAGTTCAGGTCCCACAGTCCATCATCACAGGACCCAGAGCATGGGGTTTGGGTTTTGAGCGTGGTTGTTGTTTTGTTGTGGAATTGTTTGTTTTCTTGTCATTTCCCCAGAGAGCATCACACTTGAGCCGAGTCCCTCGACCCCACATGGTACAGTGGTCAGACCCAAGAGGTGTCATTGCTAGCCAGCCAGCGGTTTGCTCGTGCTTAGAGATAGAGGGAGCTACTCTCTCTCCCTCTGCGGTTCTGGAAGGATTAGCATGGGCCCCGGCAACCACTTTGTTTAACCCTGTAAATGTGTGATACAAGTTTGTTCATTCAGCGCTTATTAAATACTTGCCATAAGTCAGGGGCATTCACATCGATTTTCTTACTTAAGCCTCCTCACAACTCCGTGAAGTAGATATATTATCCCTCTTTTTATGAAAAAGAACAGCTAGGCGTGGCAGAGCTGGGTGATCATTAAATAGAAAAGGTGAGATCATCCGGTCACTCAGGAGATTCTAGGCAGGTTGGTAAAGCCTCCGAGTGCCCCTCCAACCTTCCGGGGTAGGCCTTCGGCCATTCAGCACCTTGTCCTGACTGCGCCTTAAAAATCCGGACTCTTGATGCAAATTCTGTAGACGTTCCTCAGGGGCAGGCAGCCCCTCCCCCGGGACAAGAGACCAGGGGTAGCCTGGGCTATGTGGTGTGACTTTCCTGCTGGCGTGAGCTACCTGGATTGAGCTGGCCAGATTATCACAAATCTCTGAATCTGGAAGTTCTTTTTTATTTCTTAAATTCAGAATGTCACGTAGTCTACATTTCATGTTTTCTTCAGGACAGAAAGTTCCTTCCCTGTTGGACAGCATCTCCATTAAAACTGATCTACAAAGTATTGCTGCTCTTTTCAGCCACACAGCTAGATTTTGGATAGATGTGTACAGTATTCCTCAGGCCAGGAGGGGTGCCCTTTAGTATAGTGGCTTATGCGGGACCACTGCTTGGCTGTACTGAGAGGACGTCTTCCCAGCGATAGCCAGGTTTTTGCCTCACTGGCCAAATTAAATCTGTCCTCTGATTTGGGGAAGTTGGGGGGGAGTGGGGGAGAGGGAGGAGAGGAGGGAATCTCACTAACCTCCCCTAAAGAACTGTGGGAACTGACACTGTAAAATGTGCCCATGAGACAAACAGGCTCTGGAAATTTGTTTTGTCTACACCCCAAAATCAAAGCTTCCCTCTTCCTAACCACCTCTGCTGGAAAACAGGCACTAATTCAACTCACCTGACAGGTTCAAAGACTCTATTCTCGATGCTCATGAATCCTCTAAACACACCTTTTGTGGATTCCATGATGGAGACATGGTCTGTGATATACTGAATGGAGGCAGTGCTGATGCCACTAAATGTCAAGTGTAGTGTTTGTTTGTTTGTTTGTTTGTTTTTGAAGGATCGTACAGGAGGCAGAGTTTTATTCTCCTGTATAGGGTTGCTATGAGGTTAAAACAACTTGATTGCACCTAACATGTCTAGATATATAGCTGTACTTATATATATGTCCCTTCTATTGGATTTTAATTCCATTTTCTTTTTTAACATTTTATTAGGGGCTCATATAACTGTTATCCCAATCCATACACACATCAATTGTGTAAAGCGCATTTGTACATCGTTTCTCAAAACATTTTCTCTCCACTTAAACCCCTGACATTAGGTCCTCATTTTTCCCCTCCCTCCCCGCTCCCCCCTCCCTCATGAGCCCTTGATAGTTTATAAATGGGTATTTTGTCATATCTTGCCCTGTTCGACGTCTCCCTTCACCCACTTTTCGGTTGTCTGTCCCCCAGGGAGAAGGTCACACACAGTTCCATGTAATCAGTTCCCTCTTTCCTACTCATTCTCCCTTTACCCTCCCTGTTTTGCCACTCACACCACTGGTCCTATAGGGCTCATCCGTCCTGGATTCCCTATATTTTTGTTTTTACAGCACTGATGGTAGTTTTATTTATTACCTAATAGACAAAAAAAAAAATCACATCTGGTTTCCTCAAGGAAACGGTTTTTGCTTTTGGTTGAAGAATCGTTGCATCTCTCTGGTACTATCCAGAATACTGATAAAATTAGAAATGCTCATTTCTCAGCTTATATATTAGATGAGTTGTCTGCATGGTGGTAAAATAGCTGCTTCCTCCTGCTTCCGGCCCCTGGAAGGTTTCCTGAGCATATACGAACTCTTTAGGGAAGGCGTATTCTTGCTGTCAGAACTTAACACGTAGCCTGAGCGCTACTGCGGATTTCAGGTTGGAGTGATGGGAGTGGGGCTAAGAAGCCGGGCCTGCGGGTCTAGCCGAAATCGAAGCACTCCTCCATTCGGACGAAGGTGCTCCCTCTGCGCAGCAGACTCAGCCATGAGGAGGAGAGGATGAAAATCCTCCTCGTAACATCACCAAGGACATTGCAGCTTGAATGACTCCATGTCCCAAGACAGCGACGCTGGGGTTGATGTGCTCAAACCGGACAACATCCGAGCCTCCTCTTGGTCAGCCCTAGGCCTCACAGCGGGAAGAACGGGCCGGAGGAAAGTGCCCTTGCTGCTGCTTGCTATTGCAACCTCTTAGAAATGACATTGAACGCCAAACCACACAGGGACAGGGACGTGGGAGCCCGCAGCCTCACCAAGCGAGATGTTCTTCCTGTTCCCTCCTATCTCCGGCCCGCTCAGCACGGGCTTTGTGAGGGGGCACGGTTGCAGCCCTGCTAATGCCAGCCATGTGGGCCAGCCCATTGTCTGCATGCAGCGCTCCTCCTAGGTGCCCACACTTCGTTTGGATTTATTTTGGAATCGTTTAAAGTGCAAGCCTAGCATCCTAATGTATTTATTTTTGAAGAGGGACATGCTATGACACATCTTATCTTTTGGGCCTGCATCGTTGATACCTCATGCCGTGACCACCACACAGCCATATGCCCATGCGTTAGTTACCGAGTCATCATTTGCAACACACTATTTGGACTTAAAGATCTGAACGTCCTATGAGCAGAGCCAGGGCCGACACAGCTGGGATCAGCTCCGGGTGGAGTATGAATCCCACAGAAAGCTGGTTGCCTGCTCCACTGCATCTGAATGGAGTGTATTTTCACAGAGGGGTACAATTAAACATGTTTCTATAAAACGCATAGCTATATATTTTGTCATGGCTCATTTACCTTTTCCCTGATTTCCTTGGGCAGTGCCTTTGGCTTCACTCCCTTAGGCCTGGAGAAACTACTGATCTTGACGCCCATCTGCCCACATGCGTGTGTGGGTTTTTAGTATAATAGGTATTGGTGGCGTGGCCGGTTCTGCAGTTCTTTTCAATCAGATAATAGCAGTTGCAAAGTGGGGCAGCCCATCTACAGTCAAAATCCACTTGGCATCAGAAAAACAGGTATTTCCCCAATTCTTTGCTGGCTTGCTTTCAGCACCCCACAGTTAAGAAAATCTTAATTTAAAAAGTACAGCTATGGCAAAAGCCCAACTGGTCATGGCAGGGTTCATTTGAAGGAAAGTTAAAATGAGATGCCCTTCTTGCCAGTGCTGGTGCTGGGAGGCATGTCTTGTGCTGCTAACCATAAGGTCAGCAATTCAAAGCCACCAGTTGACCCCTCAGGAGAAAGCTGAGGCTGTCTGCTTCTATAAAGCTGTACAGCCTCAGAAACACTTTCTAAAGTTGCTGTCAGTCGGAATGGACTCCATGTGGTTGTTTGTTGCTAGGTGCCATTGAGTTGGTTCCGACCCATAGTGACTGTATTAGTCCGGGTTGCCTAGAGAAACAAATCCAGGGACACTCGTGTGTGTGTGTGAGAGAGAGAGAGCTTTATATCAGAGTAATTGTATATTAAGAAAACATCCCAGCCCAGTCTAAATTAAGTCTGTAAGTCCAATATTAGCCCATATGTCCAATAACAGTCTATAAATTCCTCTTCAGACTCGTGCAGCACATGCAATGATGTTGAATGCAGGAAGAGCAGAGGCCAGTGGGTGGAAAGTCCTGTGGATCCAGTGGTGGTGGAAGCATCTCAGCGCTAGCGTGGGTCTCCATGTGGGTTCTCCGACTCCAGGGCTCTGGCTGCCATTAGCATAGTTCCATGTGGATAGTCAACAGGAATGTGAAAGAGAATCTCACCTCCATAGAAGAAGAGAGGAAAACTCCCAGAATCCTGAGAAAGCCACCCCCACAAGGAGGCATCAATCAGGTTGTGGCCTGATGGACAGGCTAGGCTTCACCCCTATAACCTACTTAACAAGTTGACAAGAAATTAAGTAATTACCACAGCCACCCTGTGCACAGGAGAAGGCTGCGCCATCCTCACAATTGTTCCTATGTCTGAGCCCATTGATGTAGCACTGTGTCAGTCCGTCTCACGGAGGGTCTCCTTCCTCTCTTTCACTGCCCCTCCACATGACCAAACATGATGTCCTTCTCCGGGACTGTTCTGTCCTGACAATATGTGCACAGTATGTAAGACAAAGTTTTTCCATCCTTGCCTCTAAGCAGCATTACTTCTCCCAGCATAGGTCGGTGTGTCCTTTTAGCAGTCCCCGGCACTTTCAATAGTCTTCTCCCGCCCCACAGTCGGATGCATCCCTTCTACAGTCTTCCTGCTTCA